CAATGGACTGTCTAGAATAGTCTGTGGTTGTCATCTATACTCTGCTAGATGACGGGCCATCGCTTGGCACATCGCTTGGCCCATCGCTTCTTACCATATTTTACCACTCATATATCATCGCTCATCATTCATCTCATCTTTCATCGCTCATCATTTATCTCATATTTAATCTACCAATCTTTTACCCATCATAATTATAGGTATAAAATACATATACGGTTTAAGACAAATAAAACATGTATATTTTTGTTCATCCAACATAGATATCAAGAACACAGATAATATGCACACATAGCACATAATTTATATTAAATACTTCATATCTATATGTAAGATGAAAGTAACTATGCACTCACTTGTAGTGTGCTTTGATAGAATCTTACTAGAAACGGTCAACGATTCGTGATCGTCGGGCTCGGACACGGAACGCCTTCAGCAACGAGAGAGAGAAAGAAACTTTAGGTGTAAGAAATGAAATGGTATAATTTTCTATTTAGAGGCTGATTTTGGCTCTCTCACGTCGTGAGCCTCACATGCTCACGTCGTGAGCTTCCATGAGTCATCTCGTAGCCTTCCTAGGTGTTTTCTAACCTCGATTAGTGCCCGTTTGACTCCTCACGTCATGAGAAATCATGCTCATGTCGTGAGCCTTAAACATAGATTCTATTTGCATTATAGCCTTGAAAAGTGGCATTTTTACTCCTCACGTTGTGAGAAATCATGCTCACGTCGTGAGTCCAGTCAGATTAGGGTTTCTGACACATGTCATGCTCTTAGATAGCTACATCTTTGGAAGGCCATAACTTTTGCATACGAGCTCCGTTTTTGATGTTCTTTATATCCACACATAGATGGAGACGTACTATACAACTTTTCTTTAGACCCCTATGGCTAAAAAGTACTTTATCGTAAACTCACTTTTTTATGATTCCCGGTGTCGTGCCGGTTTTGTCGCGAAACTTCGACAGGCCATAACTTCTTCGTTATAACTCGGATTTCAACGTTCTTTATATGTACGGAACCCTTGTGAAATATGCTAAAACTTAGTTAGGATTATTTATTATAAATAATCTTCCATCAAAAAGTCATTTTTTGATGCTTACTGTCTCTAAATTGACTAGCCCGAATTTGCGGCGTTAACAATGTACAATAGAGAACAACTTAGATCCAAAGCAATTAGGGTTGCATGATCAAATAGGATTGTAGTTATGATCAAAACCGATCAGTGGTATCAGAGCCTAGGATGTTTTTCAATTGAATAGATGCAAGAGTGAACAGCCAAAAGAACAACAAATCGAAAAATTTTGTTGTCTGATCAGCAGACTCGAGGAGTTGAGTATCAGAGTCGACGAGTTGCTTGGACTCGACAAGTTCACTTGCTAACTCAGCGAGTTGACTCATCTGGTGCCGGATTTTTCGATTTTTTGGCCAGATTTTGATTAGGATAATTACCATAACTCGTTTTTAATGCCAAAATTTGATTTTTCTAATTAGTATGAGATGTCGTTATCAAAATTTGAAGATCTTGTTAAATATGGATAATATAAGATTATTTTGATTCAAGTATTTAACCTAGAAGTTTGATAAGTTTCAAATTGCACCCTTTAAGTTTTGGAATTTGAAATTTAATTAAAAGTTTAATTTTGAAATATAAAATTCTAAAACCCTAGTAATTTTGAAAATGTTTTAAATTACAACCTTTTGGTTTTATAGTTTAAATTTGAAATTAAAAGTTTTAGTTTTGTAAACTTAAATGGTTAAACCCAAATATTTTGAAAAAGTTTCAAAAGTCCACCTCATGGTTTTAAATTTTGATTAAATGGCTTTAATTTTGAAAATTTGAATTTAGAACCTTGGTATTTTGAATAGTTTAAAATACACCCTCTTGGATTTTATTAATAAGATTAATTAAGTGTCTAATTAAAATAGAGAATTAATAAATCCATAATATGGTTTAAAGTTAATTAAATTAAAAAGTTTAATTTATTAAAAAGATTAAACCACCTAGTATTTTAAAAGTTTAAAATACAATCTTATACTACTTAAAATTAAAAGTCTAATATATTATATATGTATAAGTAAAAGGTCAGTCTTATCTTTAGTAGGCCTCATTCAGGAAGTTGGTCTATAAGGGGTGTTTAAGGAAGCGACATGTAAAATGACCGCCATTGAGTATTCACTCTTACCCACCGCACCCTTGACAAGTGAAAGGTCGTTAGCCGAACGGGTAGGATAGGACAAGTGATGGTAACCCATGAAATTGCACACTGCACCTTATTAGTCGTTAGTGGAGCGTGTGTGGTTAACCGACACAATGATATGGGACTAATGAAGGATGACAATGGGTAGCTCGTAGGTTATCATAGATCAGTGGAGCGTATGTTGTTAACCGACACATTGATTAGGTGATAAATAACTTCGAGAGTGCCAAGCTGATTTGCATGGTTATTCACACCTTGATTGTGATCCTCGGTATCCCAGTCACAAACTTGAAGGGCATAATCGAGAATAAACATGCCATTGAAAAGTTAAATAAATCTCAAAAGATCTTAGAATTTCATTTAAAACCTAATCCGTTTAAAATTTCGTTTTCGTAGTGGAATTGGTAAAGTATCATTTACCTACCGAAAAATAATTTGCAATTGGATTACGACATCCCTTTTCCGAATTATGAATTATTGTGTTGGGTCATGGCCTTAATATTTCATTTGGGTGTTATATTAAGGATTAAATTAATTAACTTGAATTTCTCCCCTTTTGTAGATGTCTAGTTTTGACAACTATAATGTTCCTCAATCCTTTGGAAAAGGCTTTCCATTCGAAGATGATATTCCACATGTCGATGAAGGTGAATGATCATTCCCTTCTTCAAGCAAAGGTTGAACTAGAAATCATACTTCTCTTCCTCCGTCTCCTCCATTAATTCTCCCCGACCCACAATTTCGTCGACTTGAAAAGTTTAAGGTCACTCAAGCCGTATTGGCAAGCAAACACCAAGATGGAAGGTCTGTGTGTGCACACATCTTGAAGATGAGGTCACACATTGATAGACTAGGGATGTTACGTGTTGTTTTCCTTAGGATTTTGGCTGTTGACTTAGTTCTTCAATCACTTCCCAAGTCGTATAGTCAGTTCGTTAAGGACTACTATATGGCAGACCATGAAGTAACCCTTATTGATTTTACATATTTGCTAATTGTTGCTGAATCAACAATGATTTGGTGCACTGGTAAAGCGAATTTGAATGAAAGATATACCTCCCAAACTTCCATGGACATTGACAATGGCGACATTGGAAGTCGAGAAAAGTTTTCTTTTCCCAATGGAAAGGGATCGACCAAGGTCAAACCGTTTGACCGAATGGTAAAGAGAAAGCCTGAGTATGAGATAGTCCCATGTACCATTCCGAAAGAGTCTGTTGGTTTATATTGCCAAGAGAACGGGAATTGGATGTGAAGCTGCCATATCTACCTGAAAGATCGCAAGGATAGTGAAAGACCCACACTTTCGTACTTGACAATTTTTACTCCGAAACATGCTACATGCATATTCATAAAAACAATATTTTATATTGATAAAGTAATTACAAACTACTGGATACAAACTGACTAATTCAAAGTATTATATATTACATAACTTCCCAGGATTCTATAGTTTTATACATATGAGAGTGCAAAATACAATAGTTTCAAGCTATTCGAAAATCTTCTATCAACCATAGTTTTCAAACTATTCAAAAATCTTCTATCAGTATATAACTATACTGGATGCTTATTGCCTGCAATATATTAAACATTGAGAGGGTAAGCGGTGACGCTTAGTGAGTTCATTAATAGATACAATATAACGTTACACCATATATATACTTCAATATGGAAGAAGCAAAGAGGAACAAGGAACAACAAGGGCATATGTGAATCATGTGACAACTTTCCATTTCAATCATTGTTTGAGATCAAGATATACAATCAATGAGACATAACAATTTCCATACTTGATATACATCAATAAAGCTTTGGCTCAAATGGCACAGAAGACATACAACTTCGGATTAACATTTTTGTAGATTTCAGGCTTATAGCCCTGTCTAACCTTCTGCCAATACAATAGAATAGAATTCATTCTCTTACGGAGACATGTTCTATATGGGCAGAGGCAACATACACTACTAGAAAACAGCCCTTTAATGACGCGCAAACAATGACACGCGCTGATAGAGGACACGCATTTGTGTGCGCTCTAAAAAATAATGTCAGTTTTGCAAAATATGAAGGATAGAAGACACACATTTTGCGTGCCCTAAAATTAGTCTCAGAAAAGAAAAAAAATGGAAATGCGGAGGGCGCATTTCATAAAATGTGTGTCATCTAAGTGTGTCTCTTTATAAATTTTTAATGAAACACACGTTTTAAGCGGGATTTCACCCGCCTATTGGATCCCAAAAATTAAACCCCCCCCCCCCCCGCCTCTTCCAATTTGCAAGAAAAAGCCCTAGGGCCTTAGTCTTCATAGCATAATTGCTCTTGCTTTCGTGATCAAATGCCTGGTGACGACGATGGTCTTGATGTTTCCAATCTTTTTCTCAGTGTTGTAAGCCACTATAGGGAGTGGTGTTATGCATTTTCTTTACTCATTGACTCATATGCATTCTGCAATCAGGGAGCTGAACTCATGGAGTCGGCCATTGGGGGTCTACGACTCCTCACATTCAACACGGCGGTGATTTTAAGATTTTTTGTCCCCGGTATCAAAGAAGGACTAGCGCTTTTATGCTCTGGACGTCACAAGTGCGCACCCACGAACTAGGGCATTTATATTGGCGTGTTCAGCCCCATCATTCACTTTCTCTCTCCATCGCTGGCATAATTCTTAGGGTTCTACCAGGATTTCTCTCTAAATTCTTCATCAATTCAATCACTATGTGAATTGAAATTATCTTCTGATTCCGAGTATATAGATACCATTTGTATATCTACACAATTGTAATTATATGGTTGCTTATCAGGCGATTAGAGGAAGCAGATCAAGTTTACAGTTCTTGAATCATCCGTTTGAGGACACTACATATACAAAGGTGTTCGTTGGAGGGCTTGCTTGGGAGACATAGATCGAGACGCTACATCGTTATTTTGAACAATTTGGGGAAATTTCGAGACGCTACATTGTTATAACCGATAAGCATAGCGGAAGATCAAAAGGCTATGGATTTGTGAGTATTTATATTTATTCTATTTGAGTTTCACTCGTATCCAATAACGATGATTGCATATACCCGTTTCTTTGTTTACTGTATTTCACAACTTCTAATATCACAATCTTATCACGTCCCCAAATTCAGGTTCAAATATAATTTGATACTTGTATTCCATTATTTTGCCCTAATCTACTACTCAAGTGTTTACTGCAGATACCCGTTTCTTTGTTTACTGCTTTAATTATATTTCATGTAGAACATCTTAAAGATTCTTATTGGAGATCTCTACATCTTTTATAATCAGAAGATGATAACATAGATATCAATGGACTGAACAACAAATCTGAAAATCATGTCTGACTGTTAAGACTAGTAAGATTAAGGATTGTTTGCATATTCTTATTTATCGATTTAGCTCTATTATATTTTGAGATATTTTACATTTTACTAAATTACAAAAGAAAAAGAAAAGAAACCTTACCAAGTCTATATAAATAAGTCGTTTTTAAGAAAAAACTAATCAAATTAATTGTCAATCAAACATTAGAGTTCCACTATAAAAAACATACACACCCTTACTGGATGCATCTTTTTTTTTCTTTAGAGATGATCCGGATGTTGATAATATGCTGAAGGACAGAGTTAGATGAGGTGACCCCATGGCAACGGTTAGTCAAAATTCTTTTTTTGTTTTTTACTTATATCAGCCATGTACTTTATTTGTTACATAATACATATTGCTATCATTAGTAAAAAATCAAAGTACTTTGAATTTATTTTTGAATTGATTGGAAGTGATGAATTGATGTTTGTTTGTTTTGCAGGATTTGAGAAGCAAATGTTCAATAGACAAAATGAAAAACAAGTTACAGAAAGAGAAGCATACTTGTGGTCGGTAGCTGATTTGTGAAGTGTGCTAAAATGGGAAATATTGTCCTCGTTTTTGCTTGCTTTTAATGTCGCTCTTGATGACTTTTGTGTTGTATTTTAATTAAAGTTTGGATTGAAATGAGGCAAATGGTACGTGAAGTATTCTATGCTTTACAGTCTACACAGATGGGCCACCAATTTGAGTCCATTCAATTGAATCCTTTATCTTCACAATTGATGTTATATAAACTGTCATGGGGTAGTTTATATATGCATCAATACAATCCAAAAGTCACCAAGATTTGCATTTACAATATGAAATCCTTGTGTTTTCATAGTATTATCACTTCTCGTGCTACTCCTTATATCTGCAACTGCCAACCAATTGGCCGCAGTGGGAGGAGGAGATGATATATATAATGGTGTTATGAAGAAGTGTTTAGATAAGGAGATAGATGCTCTCCTTCATTTCAAAGCTTCCCTCCAAGATCCCTCTGGTTGTCTCTATACATGGAGAGCTGAAGAGGATGACTGCTATAAGTGGACAAGAGTGATGTGCAACAACAAAACATGTCATGTCAGAGAGCTTGATATGAGCTTATGTGGCCTTGAAGGTGAGATTAGCCATTCATTGCTAACTTAATTAGTATTTTCCTAGTTTTGCAATGCATATGGAAATGCTATGGTTTAAATATCAATAACTTAATTAGTATTTTCCTTGATCTGTTGTTTTATGGTTCTCATGGGTATAGTTTACTGTTGTGTAATTATTTTTTTCTCTCAGCTTCCTGCACCAAAGCGAGGCGAGATTGTTAGACAGATTGGTGATCCACTAAGAACCAAGCTTCAATACCTTGGCAGGCTTCTATCACTTGAAATGGGAAAAATTCTTCCAGAATGAATAGGGGAAGTTTAAGTATGTACTTAATCACTTTTAATTTTCAGTACCTTGTCAACAATTGTTGATGGTCTTCCTCTTGGCCCAGGAATTGCAACTTGTAAAGTTCCACACATCGCCATTAGCATAAAATTTAAAAACTCTAAGCATCTATTTTTTAGTAAAATTAGTTTTAAATCTTACAGGAGTAATTTCCCATTCAAAGGCACCACTATCTCGGCCAGCAATACCACGCTCAAAACTTTGAATAGCATAGTCATCCTGCATGTTTCAGTTAATCATAAATATTTTTTTGAACTAAAAGATGGTGAATTAAAGAATAGAAAAAAAGGTTTAAATATACTATACCTGATGCTCTCTTGTAAGTTCATACATATCAGCACATATTTCATCAACATTTCCCATCTTAAAATCATTGAAAACATCCCACAACCCGTCTTTCAAGATTCCATCAACAAGAGTGTCATGTCCAGATTTAGATCCTTTCCTGAAATTCAAAACAGTTTCCACCTTTTTCTGTAAGCCCTTACTATAATGAGAACAAAGTAACACAATAATGATTAAATTTAAAGGTAACATTCACCTTGCTTCTGAAATGTATTTGGGGACATTAGACATGCTTTCCATGCCACCAGCCACAACTACATCATTTATTCCCAATTGGATGCTTTGTGCTACCAACATAGTTGCTTCAATTACCAAAAACAAAATATGTAAATTTTCCACAATTTTATCTCAAAAATGAATACAGATCATATTTTACAATTGCATACCTTTCATCCCCGATGCACAAACTTTGTTGACTGTGGTGCTGACAACAGTATTAGGGATTCCTGCACCTAATGCTGCTTGTCTGGCGGGACCTTGCCCTAAATTTGTACCAAGAACATTTCCAAAAATAACTTCTTGTTCCTAATGCTGCACCTATGGTGCTGACAAGGTACGGATTAAATGGTCTTAAATAAAGTTTTTTCATGGCAGGAAGTCATTGTTATGTGCAACTTTGCTGTGGGCTTAAGTCGACAATTTAACGGATCTGTGATACCTTCTGTACGTAAGCTCTATTCCCATTTCCTTTCATATTTCAAAAATAAAGAAAAATAATTTTAAGTAGGTGTGGGGGTGTTATGGGAAAATACGTTGCAGGGGAATTGAAGCCACCTTCTCTTGGGATGTGGAAAAGTAGTAAAATTTTGTGTTTAGTAATGGCTTCTTCACGTTGATCTGGAAAGCATCCACAGTTAATGCCATCTAGACCAAGGTGGGCTGTTGCTAATGGCACAGGTGTAATTTTAAGTGTATATGATGAGGAAGTTGCTCGTTATGAAACCACTACTCTAACTGCAGCTGTTGTTCCTGCTCTATTACTTCCTCCTCCAACAACAGCCCTGTATGAGCATCTTTTTGCAGGGCTTCCTGCTTTAGAGCCTTATGCAAGGCTCTTCCATAGGTACTATGCTATTGCTAGTCCAAGTGCTACTTAAAGACTTCTTCTTGGACTATTAGAAGCACCACCTTCATGGGCTCCATATGCTCTTGATGCTGCTGTTCAACTAGTCGAGCTTCTTAGGGCAGCTGAAGATTTGGAATGATTGGCTCCTATCTTCTTTTTTGATATTTATACGCAATTTTTTTCTTAGGTCGGTGGTGGCGAAGTTCAATACCATGGTGAGGTTGCAAGGCTTAAAGTTGCCATGAAGATTGTCAAAGGATAAATTACTCACGGGTTCCTTTTAATTTTGTACATGTTTTGCTTTTCTATAATAAATGTTATGCAATATTAGCAATGTATTACATTTACTTACTATTGGAATGATAATTTGTATTTGATATAATAGTACAATGAATTATCTATCTTATTTATTGTATTTTATTTTGTATTATAAGACTTTTAATGTGTTATTTAATTTGAAAATTACTAAATCTATCAAAATATATAATTTTTAAAACATTTAAAATTATGACACACAAAAATGTGTGTCGCCTTTCTTTATGACAGGGGCTTTAATGATACGCAATGCGTGTCTTAAACGCGCGTCGTAAGGTTACGACACGCAAAAGCGTGTCCTCTTCTTTTATGACAGGGCCTTCTTTGTCACGCAATGCGTGTCGTAAACACGCGTCGTAAATGCGTGTCGTAACGGCGCGTCGTAAATGCGCGTTGTAAATAGACGACGCGCAAAAGCGTGTCATCTGTCGTTATGACAGGGCCTTCCTTGACACGCATTTGCGCGTCGTAAAAGGCTGTTTTTCTAGTAATGATACCAGTACCAATGTGAATCTAAGTCCTTTCACTGATCACATGGTGAAAGGTATTTCTTTGCTATTAAAAATAGGAAATAAAAATAACATGGGAAAATACCCGGAATAATAACACTGAAAAGCACATAGCACATATAACACATAACATACAATTGTTCCTATATATTCAACTCACCGTGAAATAACTGGGGGTTAAAATAGTAAATTGGGCAGCACTTCAGCTCTATAATTGACTTTCCTCGTTTAAACCGGGAGTTTTCTTGATAACTGGGCTCTGCGAAGGTAGAGCTTTAAACCGAAAAAATAAATTTCTCGGGGTCTTCAGGCACTTCGGGACGTGTTTCGGGTGCTAAAATTGATACCGGGGCTTCGGGGTATGTCAAAATAGTGAAAATATTGAAAAAGGGGTGTAAAATGCCAATTTCTCCAAATTACCCGAGAAGGCTCGCAAGCCTTGTATTTATAGGGCGAGGATGCGAGGGTTCGGCCGAGAAGGGGTTAGTCAGCGAGGGCAGGTGGCAGCAGGAGGCGAAGGCACGCGGCGCGCATGCGAAGGGCCACATGTGCGAAGTTCGGACGCGACACGGAGCGAGGCGCATCGGACGTGGGTTGGCTGCGACTTTGGTCGAATCCGGAAGCTACACACGTCGGACTCAGCGTGTGACTCACCGAGATTGGCCTTATCCTTGCAAGATTCCTCGGAAATTGTGCCCAAATCTTCTAAAATCCATAACTTTCGCATACGGGCTCCGTTGTTGATGTTCTTTATATGCACGCGTAGGTAAAATTATGCTCTACAACTTTCATTTAGACTTCATCGGCTAATTTTGAGTTTATTTTTAATATTATTATTTTTAACAGACCGGGACAGGAAAATCCGTTAAAAATTCATAACTTCTTCATCCGACGTCCATTTTCGTCAGACTTTCTACCGTTGTACTACTAATTACGAGACCTTCAATTCTCGTTTAGCTTGTGTCGGCTAAAAATCACTCGATCTAAAATTCGAGTTTTTAGCTGTCTACTACTAAGCTGAATCTTAGAAAAATTATAACTTCTTCATACGAAGTCAGATTTTGGTGTTCTTTTTATTTAACTTCTCGGTTTAACGAATAATACGACTTTCATTTAGATTACTAAGGCTAAAAAGTAGTTTATCAAAAACTCACTTTTTACGTCATTCGGCGTCGTGCCGGTTTTGTCGCGGATCTTCGATTGGTCATAACTTCTTCGTTATAACTCGGATTTCGATGAGGTTTTCGCCTAAATGTTTCTAACAAGATTATCTACAACTTTCAATAATAAAATTTTACTTATTTCAAATTTTATATTTTCATTAAATTTCACCATTTGACATTTGATTGGAATCTCATAAGACTTCTAATACTTTCTGAATGATTCTAAGCATAGTTTTACTTCATTTCTAGTAAAAACCATCCGTTAGAACTAAAAATTCAAATTCACATAATATTTTGTAATATTATTCACTTTTATAAATTACAATACACGATAAGTGAACGTGTATGTTACAAATACCTCCTCCTTTTGAGGATTTCGTTCCCGAAATTACATCGATTAAAATAAATGGGGATATTTTGCTCTTATCTCATCCTTATTTTTCCAAGTATAATTTGGGCCTCGATGGTGTTTCCACTTGACAAGCACCAACTAAACTTCTTTATTATGTAGATGAGTTGTTATTTCATTTACGATCTCTTCAGGCTCTTCGACATATCTTAACTTATTATCTAATTTCACCTCAGATAATAGTACTGTCTCATCATTGATGCTCAAGCATTTGCGCAGATAGTTCACATGAAACACATCATGAATACCTTTTAATTCTTCCGACCATTCCAAGCGGTATGCTTGTTTACCAACTCTCTGGATGATTTTGAAAGGACCAACAAATCTAGGGCTTAGTTTTCCTTTCTTCCCAAATCGCATAATGCCTTTCCACGGGGATACTTTTAGCATTATGAAATCACCCACCTGGAATTCTATGGGTCGTCTCCTCTTTTTTGTATAGGACTTTTGTCGATCCTGGGCCGCTTTCATTCTTTCTCGTACAATTTGAATCTTGTCGGTGGTGTCTTGAATAATTTCAGGGCCTAAAGGATCTTCTGTCCTATGTATCGCCAACATAATAGCGTACGACATTTGCGACCATATAATGCTTCATATGGTGGCATTTTGATTGAAGCGTGGTAACTGTTATTATACGAAAATTCGACAAGAGGTAAGTATTTATCCCAGTTACCATCGAACTCCAGGACACATGCACGAAGCATATCTTCTACTGTTTGGATTGTTCTCTCCGTCTGACCATCTGTCTGGGGATGATAAGCTGTGCTGAGAGTAACTCAAGATCCCAATTCACGTTGCATACTTGCCCAAAAGTGAGAAGTGAAGCGAGTATCACGATCGGAAATGATCTTTAGTGGCACACCATGTCTTGCAACAATTTCATCCAAGTATACTTGTGCGTATTTCTCCATTGGAGCCGTTTCACGCATGGCAAGAAAATGAGCGCTTTTAGTCAGGCGGTGGACGATTACCCAAATGCTATCATGCTGTCTAGCAGTCTTTGGCAATTTGGTAATAAAATCCATGGACAGTTCTTCACATTTCCATACAGCAACACTAAGACTTTATGGGGTTCCATAAGGCTTTTGGTGCTCTGCTTTGACTTGTAAGCATACTAAGCATTCCTATACATATCTCCCAATGTCTGTCTTTAATCTAGGCCACCAATAATCAGCTCTTACATCATAGTACATTTTAGAACAAATTACTGAAATCGTCCCTATGGTTTGGGTAAAATTGCATGTTGAGACCTAACTTTTTTTTTGCACTCGGGCAGTCCCTAACATATCATTTTGTTGTGTCTACAGTCCCTTGTAGAGATAAAAAGACTATATTACCCTTGACATTTTCTTTTTCAGTTTTTCTATATTTATAAATTATTTATTAATTAAAGAAAATAATTTATAAGTAATTTATAAATAAGTGGGTCCAACTACCATTTTCCCCTTCCCCTCCACCATCTACCTCCGGCAACCTCCATCTACCTCCGACAACCTCCGGTAACCTTGGTTTATAAAATGAAAACCTGCAACTACCCCCACCACTCTTTATAAAATCAAAACCTTCAATCAATACTAAGCTAAACCATAAATCAAAATAAAATCCTACAAAAAATGATCAATGATCAGTCAACTACAAATTTGGAACATCAACTGAGGGGAGTCAATGGAGGGGAGGAAGTCGTTTTCTTGTTGTGATTCTCGTTGAGATTGATGTGATTCCGACCATCCAACCTCCAAACGACGACCATCTTCTTCTACCTTACATCGTCGCTTCCTCACCATCCACCCCACCCCAACCCACAACTGAGGGGAGTCAATGGAGGGGAGGAGTCAATGGCTTGAGCTCCCACCACCCCACCCCAACCCACAACTAAATACCCAATAAAACCCTTTTCAATGGTTTTCTTCTGCTTAATTATCTCATTCCCCTCCCAAATCGGTAAAAGAACAGAACACTTATGATGGATCTCTCGATTGTCTTCTTTCTCGACTGTTTGTTGATGAACCAAGAGAAACATACTTTCACATTCTTCTTCTGGTTTGAATTTTGGTGTTGAATAAATTCTCGACTGTTTTTCGATTGTCTTCTTTCTCGGGGTTGTCATCTGTCTCCACCCATATGCGTTGAATAAATTCTTCTTTAATCTGCATTCCATTGTTGCTTTTTGGTGTTGATTTTGGATTTCAGTTGGTTTTTTTGCAGGTTTCGTTTCTTGATTTGGTTTTGATTTGATTTAGTTGATTTTGATTTGATTTCAGTAGGTGTAGAAGTAGGTAGAAAGAAATGATGGGGCGGAGGGTGGATCTAGGGCGAGGAAGATTTTTGATGGTGAGGGGTTCAATGGTTGTCGACGGTATAGGAGAAGGAAGGCCCCCGGAGAACGTGGCAGTCGGAGAAGATGAACCCACAGTGGCTGATTTGGGGTACAAATCTGGAACATCAACCGAGGGGAGGCAATGGAGGGGAGAAGATTTTTGTTAAACTTTTTTCTTAAAAAGATAATATTATTAGAATTTAAAATCAATAATAGAAAAATAGAAAAAACAAATAAAAAAATTAAAGAAAGGGTATTTTAGTCATTTCAGGTGTGGTAGGGACTGAACGTGCAACAAATATAAACAATAGGGATGGTCCGAGTGCAAAAAAAAGTTAGGGACCAAACACGCAATTTTACTCAAACCACAGGGACAATTTCAGTAATTTGTTCTACATTTTACTTGTACGAGGATGTATTGACAGT